AGTACGTTAAATGATAAAATTCCAGATTTTGGGTTGGCATGATTCTCAAATGCATGGCTTGCTGGTGTTTCCTTTTGTTTTGCTTTTGTTCAGACTTGGTTCCAGCCATTGCTGAGGATGCTGGAAGCACTGGGGAGGCTAGTTCAGTATTCGGAAGTGCCGGACCTTCCCGCATCATCTGTTCCGGTGCTGATGAGCCCGCCATTGTCCCCTTCACCACTGCTATCGTTGGATGAAGAGCTGGTCAACACTGAAGACACTCAAGACAATGGAGCGTTAGATGTCAGTGTTGATGACTTTGTTTCGGTCGCGAGTGAATGAGGCTCTTTGTAGTTAGGAATCAGAGAATAAAAGAGCTTTGTACAGAGAGAAAACTATTCTTCTTTTTGTTTTCTAATTTGCTGTACTGAGAGACAAAACACCAGTGGCTGGGTTCATTTGGATCCTCGGATAAGTTTTTGGTGCGGGACGCACAGGCACAGAATTTCCTACCAGTTCCACAGTAGCAGACATATCATTCATATCTATTGCTTCCAGCCTTTGTCTCCTTTGCAATACATATCTAATCTTTGCAAAACAGAAATAAACAATCGCCATTAGTATCATGGTTATCAATATAATGAGAACAATGAGGTAAATATAGACATGGTCCCTGAAATGCAATTGTAAATCGCTAATATCTTCTGCGATAGATTTCAGTCCAGGTATACTGGCAGGGATCTCATTCACGGCATTTATTTCAATATTCTCCAAAGTGGGGGTTAGTTCCTTATGTCAATTAGTATCATGGTTATCAATATAATGAGAACAATGAGGTAAATATAGCCATGGTCCCTGAAATGTAATTGTAAATTGCTAATATCTTCTGCGATAGATTTCAATCCAGGTATACTGGCAGGGATCTCATTCACGGCATTTATTTCAATATTCTCCAGAGTGGGGGTTAGTTCCTTAAATGGTCCGTTAATTACAGTATACCGACAATTGGGTTTAAATTGGATAATTCCAGAATAAGGCATCTCGTAGGTACTTTCGGTGGCTTGTGAATTTTCTCTGGAACAGTACTGAGTTATTCTTCCTCTGTCTGAATCTACAAATGCAAATTCATCAGGATCCAATTGTATAGCTAGATTCTGTGGCCTATGAATTTCCACTAATGGGCATTTTCCTTTTATTGTGGATTCCAGATCACCATTTTGTATGGCCTTCACACAATCATTAGCTTCGTATACTGGAGGCCTGTGAAACTTACATATTTGACAGATAGAATGACCAAATTGAGGTAGACACAGGGGAAGTTCATTAGCTTGTAAAGCGTATAATCTCGTACCTTGTGATAACAAATATGGTTCCGTTAAATTTACTTTATGCCATTTTGGTGTTCCCATGTAGGTATCTTCTGCTATGGGAATGCTGTGTACCTTGGCTAAATCAAACATATCTGAATGCCTTATGATTGGAACAACTGTCGTTATACAATAATTGCACGTATCATTTTCTCCACATCCATCCATTGCTCCAATTGTTAGTGGATGGGACTTTAACAGAGTCAATAGCTCTTGGATAGGGGTTATGTATATTGGGGGCTTGTTCTCAGCCTCAATGATCTTTTTCAACGCAATATCTACATAATCTTCGTAATATAAATTACTGGGATAATGGAAACGGTGTACCCTGTCAATGTCTTGCAGCATTAAATTTACTGTATCAGATGCTTGAGTTAACTCTAATCCCAAACTGAGTAGTATGAACCATTGCTCAGTAGTGTTCCTTCGATCGTAAATTAAATTGTTAGCCAACTTTAAAGCCGTTTTCAGAACCTTGCTCGTTTTTGCATGGAAATTTAAGGACGTTAGTAGTTGCACCCGCTTTTGTTGAATTACGGTGCTGGTCACTTTGTCCTTTCTTTGATGTATTACAGGGATCATTCGCATATACAGAGCATCAGTTGGAAAGTTTCTTGGTTCTGTTTCCATACGATACTTCAGGCTTTTTATTTGGTCTTCAAATATTTGATATTTGGTTTTCATGATACTGAAAGTTGCATCTCTAACAATATTTTCCTTTACGTCTTTGTCCTGTTCTGCATACTTGGAAACCTTGTTGATGATCTCTTCAGATTTTTCCACAAATTCTGCTATACCTATTGAAGATTCTAAAGTCCAATAATTGCTGGGTACACAGACAGGCTACATCTCTTCCGTTACGACACCAACACTTCCAGGGAAGTTTCTAATTGGGGAGACCTTATCAAATCGATTAAGATTAGATGAAGTTCCTTTGTTGTTTGCGGGGATCTCTTGTATTGTGAGGGAAGATGCTATTGGGAACAATATACACATACACAGAATCCAAAAATTTCTATTCCTTGGCTTTCTCCATTGCTTCAACTATTCTGGCTTGTTGCCTAGTCAGAGGTCGATGTATAAAAGCTGGTTGCCCTTGCCTACGTGTCCTTGTTGATAATATATTTTCCGGGTTCAGGTGCCGAAGGGAGGTGCAGTCCATGACGTCCTTCTCTCCTTCCTGCTCTGTCGCTTCGGGCGTCTGCTTCGTCTCACTTGGTTGAACATCTGCTTCTTCTATTTGATTTTCTTCCTCTATGATGGTTTCGTTTAAATCTTTCTTTTTCTTTTTCTTGCTCCTAGGTGTGCTTTTCCGTTTTTCCTTGAAATTTTTCCACCTCTCTTTGTTTTTTAATTGCCTGGGTGTTAGGGCTGTAGCCCCTTCTTCTTGTTTGGCTTGAGAGGCGGGTGCGTCGGCATTCAAGGCTTCTCTAGCTGGAGTAGAAAGTTTTTCCAATAATTCGGGAGTACTGGATGCAGGTGGCATTCCTTGTTCCAAAACGGTTTCGGATAAGCTAGGGAGAGTATCATTTTCATTAATAAAATACTTCCCAAATTCATCCGTAACTTCAGTCAATATTTCTTTCGTCTTTTGGAATATCCCCGGTTTCTTTTCTGGGGTTTTTACCACAATTGTTTCATCCAGATCAGGTACAGAGACAAAGGACTCTCCTTCAGAGGTATCTTCAACTGACTCATTTTGTTGGCCCTTTTTTCCTTTTAGTATGGTTTTTAATTGTTGTTGGTTGACAGGATGTTTGTGTATTTTTGAACCAATCGTTTTTCGTCGAATATTAGCCTTTCCTTTAGTGGGTTCTTCTAAATCGCTGACTGTTTCTTCGTCCGTCTCCCAATTTCTTGTATCGTCTAGATTAGAAACGAATTTAGGAATCTCTTGATCATCGTCGTCATCATCTCCTAATATTTCTATCATCTCCTTTTCTTGAGAGGGTGTTGGTGATGGTACTGGTGAAGCTCTCCTGATTACATAGGGTCTTAAATAACTAACGTGTATTACGTCAGTCCAATCAGGATTGTTATCGTCCTGTACTCTGATCACTACGGGATTAACAGACTCGATTACTGTATATGGTCCCTTGTATTTGGGTGACCATTTTCTTCCCACAAATGTGGCACTGTCGTGTCAACGTTGTTGTCCTAATTCCGTAAGAATTTTATCTTAAGACACTTTTGATCTGGAGAAAACGTCTTTTCTACAGAGTCAATTAATCTAGGGAATGTAAATTCTCTAAGACAAACTTTCAACGAGAAGATTTTGTTCTTATGGCCGGGGTTTGTAAGTAAAACACGACTTCTCAGTTTAGAGTGGATANGTTTTGAAATCACTGTGGGGTTCAATTTGAACTCACATTTTGTGTGGCACCCATATGAGGATTCTCAGATGCAGGAGTTCACTGGGTTCATCTGGGAACAGGAATGTGGCAAAAAGTCACACTCTGGGAAGAAACAGGTATCAATACTTGTTTCTTTCCTTCCTGAGACATTCCAAAAGGATTCAGGCCTCATTTATGGCTCTTTTCTGGTGGAGACTACATCTCAAGTAAGTCTCAGTGAAAGTTCCTGATGGTGCTAATTTTAATGTCCTGCTTTCTTCTCTTGGGTTTTTTGTGTCTAGATATTTTTTTGCGATTATTAAGGGCATTTGTAAGGCCCTTTTCTAGTCCATCGCGCTCCGTCGTCGTGGTTATCGAGCGCATGATATTCGCGAAAAGTCCGACGGCGTTCGGTTGTGAAGGCTTTAAAGAGCCATTAAATCACGTCAGGGACCACAACTAGCCGAAAAACAAGTCAATCATCTCCCAGGAATCAGAAACATCAACAAAAAGGGGCAAAAATGGGATTTAGTCTGGCAGTGACATCTACAATTCTCTGGGTAAATTTTTGCACCAAAACAGTGAAAATATGGATTCTAAAGGCATTCAATATTTTTCTAGGTCTTGTTGGTGACTCTTCAAGATGGTGGGGCTAGTTCCTGTGCAGAAGTTGGAGGCAGGCTTGCCTGTGAAGACATCTGTGAAGTCAGAAGACCAGCTCTCCACAAGTTTCAAGTGGACCTTGTTGGGGACTCCTTGGACTTGGACTGCATCAGGTATAAAGGTCTCAAGGTGAGTTCCTTCTGGAAATGAGAAAGATAAACATAGATTTGAACTTTTCCTTGTAACTTTTCAGGAAGTCAGGTTATTCAACAGGACCTTCTGTTTGGGGAAAGTGCTAGGCATGGAAGAAATTGTGAGACCTTGGAGTCTGTTTCTTCAAACACACAAGTAAGTTGCCAAAACATCATCTTAGATCTTAGTAATTCAACCTTTCCATTTTTCAGAGAAACAGAAAACAGTCAAGGAGGAGCTCAGGACTTCAAAACCTGTTCAGAAGACTTCACTGCACACAACATCATCAACAACACCACTGACCTCATCAACTGTACCAATCAAGCAAAGGATCAGCACCACAAGTCAACCTACAACAGTACCTTGGGAGGAAGAAACTGCTACCATCCAGGATCAAGACAACAGTGTTTTTGATAAAAATGATGTTGTGACTGTTGTGCCTGAAACCCAGTTAGAACAAGCAGAGGAGATGGTGCCTGTAGAGGAGGCCCTTCCCAAAACTACTAGGGGGACCCTGGCAGATATTGCAGAAAAATCTAAAAACTTATCTATTTCTCAGTTGAACATTTCTGCAGGGTTCCCTGATGGGTCAGTTATCCATGCAGAGTTTCCACAATGGTTACTGGAAGCTTTAGTTTGGATAATTGGAGTATTCGGGGTTGGCTCTCCCTTTGCAGTACTAACAATTTGCTGTTGCAAAAGGATAAAATTGAAGGTGTGTAGTTTTTTGTGCTGGAAGGTTAGCCATATTTCTAATGGGTTTTTGGGCTTTCTTCTATTGCTGTGCTTCTTGTGTGCTGGGTTGAATTGTTAGAGGGAATCAGAGGCAGAAAATCAATTGGAAGAGGCACCTCAGTCAGTTCTAAATCCTTTGTTTGAGGAATTGGAGATGGCTGAGGCTCCTTCTCTTGCCACAGTGAGGCCTTTGATGTCCTCTTTCAGTGAGTGTCTGTCACTGCTTGCTTGTTTTGCTTTGGCTTGACCTTCTTTTGTTATCAGGTCCGATCCAAAGCCCTGTCCGGGGAAGAGTTGCTCGCCAGGTGGACTTGGCCTCTCCTTCGTGCTTGGGTGTTGGCAAAGATTCGTTCTAGCCACCCCACCTTTCGGCGCACTCGACCTGGTTCTGGCCAGGTTGTTCGTAGTGGAAGCCTCTCCAGTTTTTATACTGTGGGAGAAGTCTAGTTAATATTCGCGCACATGTATTTGACGCGATTAGAGAGTTGATGTTGTTAGGAGGACATGAATAAAGATATGTTGATCCTCCACTCCTTGGTTTTTCTCTTCTTTTTGTTTTTGTCTTTCCACACCAATCCCGGGCATTTCTCTTCATCCAGGTGTTCGGGATCCTCTTTCAATGAGTAAAAATAAAGCAAGTATAAGGCAGTCACACACATATAGGTGGTGAGGTATAAAGTAAGGTAGCATAACACACAACCAAACTGAGTTTGGATAAAAACATAAAAGCACACAAAGCATAACATGAATACCACACAATCCTAATCCCAATTCTAGTAGAGCCTTCAAAACCTTCAAGGGGTGTTCCTGCGTATATTACTTGATCGCCATTAACCCTGTTGAAGCACTAATTTGCAATCTGGGGTACTGAGGAGCCAATGGGGCACTCCTGGAGGGTATCAATTCGATATTTGCGCTTTCTATAATGTTTGCATTTCTTCTGCGTCTACAAATGATAACGTACCGTATTTTTGCGAAACATAGATACATGATACTGATTAGTATGATAGACAATAGTATTACTGACACTATTAGATAAATGTATCCATGATCTCTAAAGTGAATTTGGAGTTTGCTAATATCTTCAGCTACTGAACTTCGTGGTTTAAAAGCTGGAATTTCTTCTACAGCGTTTATCTCCACATTTTCTAGTTTGGGTAGAATTTCCTTGAATGGTCCGTTCACTAAAGTATATCTGCAATTTTGATTAAATTTCAGGATACCAGAATACGGTAACTCGTATGAGTTCTCAGACGCAGGAATTGTTCCATTTTCACTTTCAGCACAATATTGAGTTACCCTTCCCTTGTCTGTATCTATATACGCAAATTCGTCCCTATCTAACTGTACTACCATATTTTCAGGGCTCACTATCGATCTCATAGGACATGCCTCTTGAATTGCTTCTTCATTTTCTCCAATTTGGATTTTTCTAATGCATTCACTGGCAGGTCTGATAGGGGCATGATTGGCTCTGCAAATTTGACAACCTGAATGTCCTATTCTTCTGAGACACATGGGTATTTCTGTACCATAGGCTGCGTAATACTGATTTCCTCTCTTTAACAGAAACGGATGTTTAATCTCTGCTTGCAACCATTTTGGAGACCCTAAATAAGTTTCTTTGGCTATGGGAACTGCATGCACCCTTGAAACATGAATCACTTTGTCTGCTGAAATAACTGGTTGTTATCCTAAATCGGCGAAAGAATAAAACCTCAGACACTTTCGTGCAGAAAGAAACGTCTCTCTTTCTTACGCGATTAATCTAAAACTTAGTTCCTTCATCCATTGGCTCCTCAGTACCCCAGATTGCAAATTAGTGCTTCGACAGGTTTAATGGTGATCAAGTAATATACGCAAGAACACCCCTTGAAAGTTTTGAAGGCTCTGCAAATTTGACAACCTGAATGTCCTATTCTTCTAAGACACATGGGTATTTCTGTACCATAGGCTGCGTAATACCAATTTCCTCTCTTTAACAGAAATGGATGTTTAATCTCTGCTTGCAACCATTTTGGAGACCCCAAATAAGTTTCTCTGGCTATGGGAACTGCATGCACTCTTGAAACACGAATCACTTTGTCTGCTGAAATAACTGGTACTATTGTAATAATCTTGAGATGACACTCTCCAGCTGTGGCTGTCAAGTTGGCACAATTGAACGTTCCTACCGTTACTGGGTTTGACTTAATTATGTGGACCAAATCCGTTGCTGTTACTTTGGATTTTGCATATCTAGGTTCCACATCGAGAATTTCCTGCATTACTCCATGCACTTGACCAATGTCAAACATGTGAATAGGGAAAGCAAATTCTCTAATTGATTCGATATCCCCTTGACAATTGAACGTTCCTACCGTTACTGGGTTTGACTTAATTATGTGGACCAAATCCGTTGCTGTTACTTTGGATTTTGCATATCTAGGTTCCACATTGAGAATTTCTTGCATTACTCCATGCACTTGACCAATGTCAAACATGTGAATAGGGAAAGCAAATTCTCTAATTGATTCGATATCCCCTTGAATAGTATCGGCTACGTTCTTTAGTTGTCCCAACTCAGATCCAATAAGGAGAGTTTTCAACCAAAAATTAATTAGAGAACGGTTGGTCAAAGTGACGTCGTCGATTAATTTGTCAAAAACTTTGGCATGACTAAAGTCGGTGAATGTTAATAGTGACGATGGTCTGAGGTATGCTCTTTTGCTATTTGATTGTAGTTTTGTTAGGGGGGAAATTCCTCTCTGAACAAATGGTAACAGGTTCACATAAGGTGTTTCATTCCCCGGGTTGTTTGCTGCAGTTTCAATTTGCATAGCCAGATTATCTAAAGTTAGGTCTAGCATACTCAGCTTATGGTCCAGCATTTTCATGGATACATTGGCTGGGCCAGATAATTTCAAGTCATTTTCGTCCACATCTTTTCTCACATTTTTTTGCAAAATTGTACACTCTTTTTCGAACCTTTTCTCCCATGTGGTAAAACTTTCCTAAATCCACTGACAATTCCATTGTCCAAAAGGTTGTGGGAATGCACATCTTACTTAGATCTTCAATCGTTACTCCTATGTTCCCTGGAAATGTTCTAATGGGAGAAATCTTGTCTAACCTGTTGCTGTTGGATACAATTCCACAATCTTCTGCCACTTCTTCGATTAACAGGCTATTGAAAATAATTGTAAATTGAATGTAGAACAATATAACCGTAAATCAAAACATGTTGACGCGGGCGCGTTTCGAGAATAACTGTGCAGTTTGCATACTTATCTGGGTACTGAAGTTGACCATCTGGCTTCCCCGCGCGTGCGTGTAGGTAGAATGTTGTCGCTATCTATTCCACTCAACATGCGTGGCCTTACCGATCTTTTTTCCTGGTTTGGTTCTGTTTTGTTCCTTTTTTCCTTCTGCTCCATCTCTTTCTGCTCTGCTTCCTGTTGTTTCTTCTTGGCTTCTTTCTTTCTTTCCTTCTTCTTCTGACTCTTGGATTTTGCTGAGTCAGGGTTTACTGCTGAGGTCGCTCCTCTGTCTGGAGTATGTTGCAGCGGCATCTGTGACCTTCTAGGAGTACTGGATGACTCCTGCAGTGCAAGGACACTGTCGGTGACTGCTGGCAAGGTTGTCTCAGGCGGTTCATTGTTGTCTGAGCCTGATTCTGGAGAGAAAAACTTCCCCAGTTCCGTAGTCACCTCAGAAAGAAAGGACTTATTAGCTTTGCTAGATTTTGGTGTAGCTATAACAGTCTTATTAGTATCCTCAGTGGAAGCAAAGGATTCATTTCCGACTTCTGATGTTTCCGCATTAGGAGAATGAGTAGGTGTCCCATAGAACATCATGTCAGGGGCAGACACATCAAAAGCAGCTGATTTATTGGCTACCTCTTCGGGCTCTTCTGAAATTTCTGCTTCTACCTCTTCAGTCTCATTCTCCATCGATGATTGAGTGATTTCGTCGTCATCCGTTTTTTCAATGGGTTTCTCTGGTTTGCGTGATGGAGTAGACCATTTCTTGGGTTGCGCATTGGGAAAAACCTTTTGTTCGACTTCATCAAAGTTTCTATTTCCTCAATTTCTAGGTTGGTATCTAAGTTAGTAGAATCTGCATTCCGGATTTGGAAAGGTCGAATATAACTAGTATGAACTACATCGGTCCAGTTGCTATGCTGGTCATCTCGAATGCGCACCACGACGGGATTAACAATTTCAATAATTGTGTAAGGACCTTTGTATTTGGCGCTCCATTTCTTTCCCACAAAGGAGAGGGGATGTTGTTTGAGCCAAATTTTGTCTCCTACATTATAAGCTGTTCCCTTCCGGTGTACCTTTAACCGTTCTAAATACGAAGCTTGGCCCTTTCTAATGGCCGCCTGGGCTTGTTCTCTTAAGGATTCAAGCTGTTCTTTTTTCACCTCATAATATTTCCTTATGCTTTGGAATTGTTCCAAGTTTTGTTGGCTAGAAAGCCAATTTCTTCTTGGTTTCATTCCTGTTACTATCTTGAAGGAAGAGGCTTGTAAAGCTTCGTGCTTAGAGCTGTTGTGGACCCATGCTGCTAGTTTGAGTAGTTCATCCCAGGTACTTCTATTTTACGGGTCTAGATAGAGCGCCAGGTATTTGTGTAACTTGCGATGGGACCTTTCATTTTGCCCATTACCTTGGGGTCAATAGGCTGTAGTTGTATTTGCCCAAGCTCCCAAAAAACTAGCCATATCCCGGAACACACTACTTACAAAGTTTGTCCCACAATTGGTCAAAATTCTTTTCGGAGCTCCAAACGTACAAACCCATTCGGTCAAGAATAATCTAGCGGTGGTCTTTGCAGATGCATCTTTCATTGCTGAAAAGACTATCCAGCGAGACAACCAATCTTGAATTACTAGAATATATCTATTTCCCCTTTGACTGTTCGGTACGGGACCCACCACGTCAACACTAACATCTTAAAAGCAATTCTTAGGAATACCTGTGCTCAAGTAAGGCGTATTGTGGGAGAAATTCTTAGTTTTCTGACATTTGGTACAGGAACGGACATATGCCGTGACATCCTTCTCAATATTGGGCCAAGTAAATTCTTCTCGGATAGCAAAGGAAGTTTTATCAATTCCGCAATGACCCATAGATGGCGGATCATGAAAACTGGAAATTATCTTTTCTCTCAAAGAAGGTGGAACCCAAATGCGTTGCCCGTTGGTTGTCTTCTTCATCAACAATCCTTCCTGCATATGAAATTCTTCTCCAAAAGGAATTTTTCCCTTCAAGGAGGCAGTAGTGCGCTGTGACAAGCTTCTGGAAATGTAAGGAATCAGATTAGTTTCGAGCAAGACAGGAGACAAAAAGGCACACAGTTTCTTGGATTTCTGGTCGGGGGGAAATCGGCTTAAGGCATCAGCATGAGGGATCGAAAGTCCCTTTTTATACTCAACTCAATATTCATATTCGTTGAGTTTCATAAACCAAGCGACTGCCCTTCAACTGTCGCTCTGTCTCTGACGACTTAAGTAGGGGATAGCGATATGATCTGTTCATATTACGAAAGGATGTCCCCATAAATATGAGCAAAACTGTGAAACACCATAATATACTGCTAGTAATTCTCTATCAGTATTAGGGTATCTCAATTCTGCGTCATTGAGCGTCCGGCTTGCACATCCAATTAATACTTCCCTCTTACCTGGTTTCTGTGTGAGTATTGCTCCTATGGCAATAGCAGAAGCATCGGTAGTAAGAATAAATTCTTGGTCAAAATTGGGGAAGGAAAGTACAGGCGCTGACAACAAACATTTCTTAAGACATTCTACAGCATCTTGTTGCATTTTTTCCCATTTGAAAGCTGTATCCTTTTTCAGAAGGATATACAGTGGTTTTGCCTTTAGAGCAAAATTCTGTATATAGGATC